GTTTTACAGAGTTTTCCATTTTTAAAATATTTTTTAACTTTTTATTTTGAGACAATTTAAAATTCACATTCAGTTTTAAGAATAATACAGCAGATCTCTGATACTCTTCGCCCAGTTTTCTCTAATAGTAACATCTTACATAACCGTAATATACAGGCTGAGCATCTCTCATCTGAAAATCCAAGATCCCAAATGCTCCAAAATCCAAAACTTTTTGAGTGCCAAAATGATGCTCAAAGAAAATCTTCATTCCAGCATTTTGGGTTTCAGATTTTCAAATTAGGTATGCTCAACCAATAAGTATAATGCAAATATTCCAAAATCTAAAAAAAATCCCAACACTTCTGATCCCAAGCATTTTAGATAAGGAATACTCAGCCTGCAATACTATGACCAGGCTATCGACATTGATACAATCTGTGAACATACGCAGATTTCACCAGTTTTACAGGTAGGTACTCGTGTATGTGTGTGTGTGTCTAGCTCTGTATGATGTTGTCTCCTGTACCTTCGTGTGATGAGAAACTACAGTCAAGGTACAGGACACAAGGATCCCTCATGCTGCCTTTTATAACCCTGGCCACCTTCCCCCCACCCACCTCCCCAGCAACCTGGGGGAACTACTAATCTATTCTCCATCTCTATAATTTTATTACTTCAAGAATACTATTATATTTATATGAAATTACTATAATTTATCATTGTTCCCCCAGCACCATTAAAGGGTGGTGGTATACTTTTCGAAAGGAAGAGTTTCTGTAGGCATTTTTGCAGGGCTCATGACTAGCTATTTTAAAATCATCTTTGGTATTGCAGCGACAAATATAAAACTTTTGCTTTGTCTGTTTTTATTTTGCCATTCACTCTGTCCATTAGTAGGGGGCTTAAATTCATCAGCAACTTAGTTTTCCCCTTATTGGTTGTTGACAGTGGTTCCTGTTGACATTAAAAGAAAAAACATCTGGCAAAGGGACTCCTCTGATAGCAATCAGTCCTGCACATTGTGCAGATCCAAGTGGAAAAACGCCCCCACTTGTTTGCTGATAGCATGTATTATTTCGCTATTTGTTATGAGATACCGACAGCTTTATAGGTGTTTACAGTTGAAAGGATGATACTTAAGTGCTGATGCCAGAGATTGTACTGACTTTTCCGCCAACAGTAGTACTCATTTCTTTCTCTCAACTTTTCTGAAACTGCAAACCTCTGGCATTTAGCATGTAACCTTTTACAGATGGCCAACAGCCTCTTTCCTGGACCAGAAATGGAAAGTCCTTCTTTGAGATTATATTGTTGGTGAACAATTAAAGCCCTGCACAGTGTAGACTGCTAGATTGCCCTCTCCATCAGTCTCAGTGAGATTGAGGGCTCAAAACCTTATTCTTCAAGAAGGAAACTCCTGCCAGTGTGTTTGAATCTCATTTCTAGAATATTTTCTATTCTTTTTTTTTCTATTTCAGCATATTATGGGGGTACAGATGTTTAGGTTACGCATGTTGCCCTTGCCCCCCCTCCCCCGCTAAGTCCGAGTTTCAAATATGTCCATTCTTCGGGTGGTGCGCATTACACTCTTTGTGTATGCATATACCCTATTTTCTATTCTGATAGAAGTCTCTTGACTCATTCCATCAAAGTAAGAAGATATGTCTTTACAATAGTTCTGTATACAGCAAATGTTCCCATTTCACAATTCCAGATTTGCAGTGGCTCCTGCTCTTCATTGCTTCCCTCTCTTTGGTACTACCCAAAGCCTCTGCCCCCACCCGGCGTCCCAGGGTTTGTCTTGGACTACTGTGCCTATTCAAATAGTAAGTCATGGAGTTATAGAGGAAGTGTTTAAGACTGTTAGCACCTAATTAAGGGTTTCTTCCTGATGTTAATAATTACAATCTTTCAAGTCCCATCTCTTTACTAAGTATTATGATAGGCACATTCTTACTTTATCTTCCTACCAATCCTATGAGAAGATATTATTCTGGTTTCACAGATGAAAACACTGAGACTCAGGGGTCATATAGCGAGTAAGCAGCCAGAGCCGAAATTTAAACCCCACACCTAATATTCAAAGCCTATACTTAACCATGCGGTATCTTTTCATATAACCAGGAAGGCTGTGTTACATTGGAAAAGGGTTATTCCTGCAGAGAAATGAAATTGTTGAAAGCACCTTGAGACATATAATATTACCACTGAAAAAGACTAGAGCAGAGCTAGTCCGACAGCTTGCCCAGTCCGGCTTCCTTTCTCAGCCCACTCACTCACCCAGGCTTGGCCAAGCACTGCAGGGGGCTCTGCGCCCTTTTGGATAGAGCTCACGGCAGGAGAACACCTCCTAACTGAAGCCTGCACCCTTTATCTGGAATGTGTTGACCTTAGTCCTGCCCTGGGGAGCTTCTCAGAATTAGGAAGGTCCTTCTTCCAATGACATTCCTTTACATAGTTAATACATGTGATTCCTATCCCCTTTAATCTTGTGATGAAGACACTAGAACCGACCAACATTATTTACAATGACCCGTATATAGCTTGGAGGGAGAACCTCGAAGATTCTCAGAAAATCATGTGTGGATTGACATATTTATGCAAAACAAAGAAACCTTCCTTTCTTTGTTCACCTTTTAACTCTGTCCAGGTTTCCAACTAGGCGCTTTCTGGTGGGGGTCTCTTCCACCCTGGGCACTCCCCAGTATTGCCTTCTCCACGCCAGCTCTGCTGACACACCTGCCTTCTTGCCTGGGTGCTCCAGGGTGGCAGGGAAGTTACACTGGGGTCCTAACAACCTTGTTTGGTAACTGCAAATTCCCTTTTTGGCGTTAGTCCTAATGACAGTTGTTTTTTTCTAAGTATATGCAAACCAAGTTAGGCTTTAGTGCCCCAAGTGATCCAAAGAATCATTGTTCTTATGGCTCTTCGGGTATCAGGCTCT